AATAGTCACAGAAACTGAGAAGTTTGACATTGGTTGTGATGCAGCAGAGCTTTCATCTTAGGTAAGTGATAAGAAAAATATTTATCACAAGGAAGTAATGTAAAAAAGGGGTGAGTTTTATACATAGGGTACTCAAAGAGCTTTTCTTTCTTGAGTGCTGGATAAGACGATAAATTTCTGCAAGGAAAGGACTGCTGGTGTGTTGTTCCTGTAAGTCCTTTTTTGCATCAATTCCTTAGCGTTGGTAGGAGAGCATCTTTGAGGAAGACTGAGAGAGCAAAAGAGAAAGGGGAGGCTTATGTGCTATTTTGGTCATGCTTGAGACTTTCAGCTCTAAATCCTACTTACTTTATCATTGATCTTATCATTCATTTATTTGCTTCAGAAAAGACCTGACACAGTGCTGACCAGTTTTTCTTTCCTTTTCAGCATTCATTGATTTGTGTATTCTAAGGGAAGGGTTTTATGAGGGGAAATGCTGAGTTTCAAACCAACCAAGAAACAAAGTTCTTGAAATGTTGACCTTAACATCCTTTCCATTAGTCTTTCTTAGAAGTTTTTAAAACAGCTGTCTACATCTTTCTCTCTACCTGTGGATATGAAAGGAGTTTCTCATAAATGTCCATGGTACGTCACTGTCTACCTTCAAAACTCTCCCCCACCAGAATACCTATGAAACCAGTGACAGCATTTAAGTTGCAGTCTGGCGTTATCTTATAGCTTAGTAAACCTCACAGCCAGCTGTTATCAAAAGCCATGTTTTTTCTTCAGCCCCCTCTACGCTTGCGTCCACATGTTCTCACTCTGTCTCCTGTGCCATCACTTTTACTCATCTGATCTTGTAGTGAGATGTTTAAGGAAGCTAAATTAGTAGAAAACCAATTGCTTTTCTCTAAAAGCAGTTTTCTGCCTGTTGAGTTTCACAAATAGGGAGCAGATGAGTTTCGACGTCAAAGCAAAGGAAGACAATTACTGGGGCACAAGAGTGGAGCAGCATTACCCTTCTTTGTCAGCAGTTAGCTGTTAGATCAGTTCAGCCACGATTGCACCTATCAACAGAGAGTATAGGGAGAATACCACTTATCACATTGATCTGTGTTGTCTTGCCATCTCCCTGGGTTCTTGTGTCTGTAACCACCTTATTTCCTTTGTTTTCTACGTTGGCTGTAAGTCCTTTGTGCAGGGGCTGCCTCTCTGTACTGTATTTGTAAACCACAACTTTTGCAACTTTGAAACTTTTTGCTGTGATGTTTACCGCAACTTATCATTTTTCCTTCCTAACAGATGTCAAACTTTATTATTTATCGTTTGGGGAGAATGACACAACCTCCACATAGCTGTTTGCTGATGTCCTTGTGAGAAGACTTAGTATAATAACAGCTCCTCTGCATAACATAAATAAAGTTAATATTGGAAATAAGAACAATTTCATTATTCTCATCTAACAGATTGGAATTTGAAAGGTAGGTACAGCTGTGTTGAACAGAAAAAAAAAATCTGTCACCAAGCTTCAAGAGGAAAGAACTGTGAGGAAATGTATGCACTTGATGATCATGTCTGTTTGGCTTCTGCAGGTATTGTTCCTAGTGTTATGCTCCACAGTTCATACCATTGCGGATATGGAGTATGTAAAAGTCCATTAAAGACTGAATTTAAAAAGCATTGTGAAGGTGGACATGGTGGTTTGGGAGATTGGTACTAGGATATGAAGGCTGGTGTTCCTACATAACTGATTTGAATATAGCTGAAGGATTCTGACGGGGCCAGTGGAAATTGTTTTGATTTTTAAAACTTATTGGTCCCTCTTTTCCTTTTTTAAATCATCTTATGTGGGTCTGTTTGCATCTCATCATCAGGGACAAGCCTCTTGGATAGCAAAAGCTGCTCTGTACTGGTTGCAGTGGCAATAGGCAGACTGAAAGGGACGAGAAAGGCAAATCTGGAGATCAAATTCAGCAAAACAAACCAAGGTGATATTGGAAATATTCCTGGAGAGTTGGAAGACAACTTTAGGCTTGAATCTGTACTGCCGTCCTCCTTCTCTGCTCCAGAAACTACCTCTTGACATGCCTGTCTCATTTGTGAGACCCCTGCTCCGTATATGAACTAACACTTGTGAACATTTGCCTCCGCAGGGCATATTTTCCTTCAGATGAGGATTGAATGAAGGTAAAACTGAATGGAAACGCAGCAAATTGGTTAGACAAACTGCTTAGAGCATATGTCTCATCTCAACGTACAGTTCCATGTGAGCACTAAACTGTCTGGTCATGGCTAGTTGCCACTGCAAGACAAAGGTCTTATTCCGGTCTGTCCTCTTCTGTTGTCACTTTAGTGCTGGCTTTGCTGCCCGGCTGAAGCCAGGCTGGAAGCCTGCCCAGCAGAGACATAAGCCAGGAGGAAAAAGTTTCTTGCAGTGTCTGACCAAGGTCAGGCGAGAGCCAGTAGAGGCTCAGGGCGCACTTCACAGAGAGACACAGTAACACTGACTTCGATCAGTCTGAACTCTCATACAAGTGTGTGCTCTTGGTGGTTCTACTTCATCCCCTTGTCTCTGCTGTACCCTAGGCACTTTCATCTCCTCCCTGATGTCCTTTCTGATGCTTCTGTGAACCCTTGTGAGTTGACTCAACTCACTGACCTCACAGAAGAAAAACCCTCTTTATTTGCTTGTTGAATTAATTCAGTGTGCAACCGCATGAGCCTCCTAACTCTGTGAGGGAAGGGGGGAGTGATGGAAGAAGTTGGTGGAGGAGATGGAATTGTCCTTTTGTGATGGTCAAACCATTATTAACACCCACTGAGGGTACAATTTGATGTTAGACCTAACCTATTGTGCACGCAAGCTGCTACTGAAGAAAATAGTCCTAAACTCACTGATCTGATGCAAAGTGAATTCTTTTTTTGGAGAGTTGCCACAAAGTTGTGTGATTGTTAAATCCAGTTCAGGGGAAGCTGCAGGAATGTCTATGTGGAAGTGGTTGGGAAGAACAGACTGCTGCTTTTTGTGGCAATCTCCATTTAGGTCATGCTATCAGGATGTGAAACTGTCTTCTTTGCATGCATTCAGAAGGAATGAAAACAGAACTAAAAAATTATTTGGTGAAAAAAAATGAGTTTCGAGTAAGGTCAACACACTGATCTGACTTAACAGCTGCAGAATAACTCATCCTAACACTGGGAGAGAATGAGAAGATGAAGAGAGGGACAAGTGATGGGAAAATTGCTTTTGATAGCAGTGTGCTCTTAGATTGGCTGATGTTGAACATGGAGCTGCTCCCCAAGATGGGGATTCCAAGTGACAGAAGAAATTTTCATCTTTTTGTAGTAAATGGCTCACCAAAATGATCCAACTTAAAAAAAAAAATAAAAAAAATCTTTTACTTTTGGAAGCTGAGTGTTTTCACTGGCTTCACAAGCAGGTGAATTTGTGGAAGAATGGGAGGATGAAGAACTACACCAGTGAATGAATAATTCACTGGAAAAGGGGAAAATCAGGAACCTACTGAACTGGCTTTACCATCAGGAAAGTTATAATGTGAAATGTGCCTTGGATTTTCTACATTAGCTTAGTAATGAAGAAGAATAAGGATGTACCTCAGTAACTCTCTCTTTTTACCCGCGAGTACGGTGCTGTAACCCCAGTTTCCTGTGGGGCGAAGGGAGTTGTACAATACCAAAACCATGACGTGTGGTACAGTAAGGAGCAGGGTACTTTTCATATGTGTTTTTGGAGGGGCTAAATCCCTATTTAATTCTGTAAGGTTATTTTCTGTAAACTTAAAAACTGTTATGGCCTGAAATTTACTTAAAATTGCTGTTTCTCAGTTAGAATAAAGTTACTTCTGTGTGCTGGTTTGAATTTGTTTCCGTCTTCACCTACATTGCTCTTTCAGCAGTTTCTGACTTAAAAAAAAAAGTTGCAATGGTTTGCTCCTTCTTGAATAATAATTTGTTGCTAGTTAATGAAAAGTCTTTATAGTGACTTCATCATTATGATTATGCAGACCTGATTGCTGGTGCCGTAATAGTGATTAACAGCACCATAAACTGACTCTTGAGGGTCCAGTCACAGTAGAATATACCACACACTGCTTTGCAACTTCAACAGGTAAGCAGTTTGGTACTTTTATGTTTCCGCTTAAAGTGTCAGATGACCCTGAGTATTGAAAACAAACCAATTGTTTCTATTATTATCTGTAAAAAAATGAAGTCAGGTTAAGTTTCCTTTGCACGACTTCTTTAAAAAAGTGAATATCACTTGAGAAAAATAACTGGGTTGGGTTTTTTTTTTTTTCACATTAAAATAATCACTATTACGAGCTCTTTTATTTTAAGGAGCGTGAGCAAACATAACTGTTCCTCATATGTATAGATCTGTGAAAAACTTTTGTTGTATAATTTGGAAATAATGATGCAGAGAGACCAAACAATATTACTGTATAAAAGAGTTGAGCTAAAAATATAAACTTAAAAAGAAAATAACAAAATCCCTTACAGAAGACAGCAATGTGAAAGGCCAAATTGAATGTAAAACTCACAGATGCAGATTCTTATTTTCAAATACTAAAGACTAGCTGACCACCTGTGAGCAGGCTGATTGATTGCAGCCATCTGAGATGTTCCTTCAAATCTGTTCACAACTGTGCCTGAGATCATGTTAAAGGATAATCTGATTAAACCTTAATTTCTGTAGTCTGTGTGGTTTTAACAGGGAGTAGTTTCTTTACAGTGAAACCTGTTTTGCCTTAGTTAGTTGCGTGTGACTTAAATAGAGTTGTGCAACTGGAACACTGACCACAAACTGATTTCTGAGGATCAGAAATAAGCTGTTGATGTATTGGAAGTGGAGAGTTTTATGGTGAATACCTGTATCCAGCCTTTTCAGTCGTGCTTTCCTTGTGTATTGGCCCAGTAAATTTGTTGATTTTCTGGGATGCCAAAACTGGCCAGCTTTCCCACAGTGCTGCGCACAAAACACTGGCTCTAGACCTTTTGGTATGTCTGCTTTGACTGTGGGCTTCGATAGCAGTGGGAGTCCTGAACTGCACCAGACAGATCCATCTGGTACCTACCCGTCTTGGAAGGTAAGTGTCAACTTGATATATATATTTTGTCTGTAAGTATCTGAGTACTTACATGTAGAGTACTGTATATATGGTCTGTATGAAGAATCAATTTTATGTGTTAAAAGTTTTTGCATAGTCAGTGCATGTCTCTGATGTTGGATATTGAATTCTGAACTAAACATCAACAGGATCAGAAGGAAGGTTCAAGCCAACTAAGTCACTGAAACATACTTAGTTTTGAAAATAAAGTTATAATAAGCTATAGGAAAAATACATGTAAAGCCTTTAGAAAGGCTTAATAATTGCTACAAGAAATGGTAGCCTGTTCATACAGGAAAAAAAATCCATCTGAAGTGTGTCTTGTTTTTCTTTGTGATTCTTTTGTTCACTTGTCACTTTTTATAGAAACTTTCCTGTATGGGTCCTGAAAACTCTCCTATCGGCTGTACTTTAAAGAACACGAAGAGCATCTAGGCCAGTATTAGAGTTTTTGTGTCAGACAGTTTTGATTAGTACCTTGCTCTTGATCACAGGTTTTTGTAATTGACTCAAGCAGAACTGGAACAAATATGGTGAACCCTTCGGTGTACGGTCTGCTCACACTAGAAGCTCTCCCTGTCGGCGTTGCAGCTGTCCTGCTGGAAGCAGTAGCAATCTGGATGATTATATTTAGGTTTCCATTCCCGTTGAAGGGAAACTATTGAATATGTTGGTCGGTCATCGAGGCAATGACCAAGAGGAGTATTATTATTATTATTAATTTATTATTAAATGGAGACAGGTAGAGGCAGGGTGGAGGATGTCCTCTGGCTAAAGGAATGGTTACACCTGACTGCAGCTGGTGTTGTCCACACTTTGTACTCAGTCAATCAGATATTTACCACTTTAATTTACTGGAGTAATTTCATTGCTGACTTTGTGCCTAGTGGTTGCTGAAAGCTCTTAAAGCGCATGAACCGATGGGGTACCATCTTCATTAGTGAACAAAACTGCCAAAGCCCACTTTTTATCCCTGAGACCATGTTCGTACCAGACCCTCCTTGCCTCCAAAATGGACTAGCTGTGTCCTGGCTGCCTGCTCCCTATGTGTGCCAAAACCCGTTGTAGCGATGGAGATAATCAAGCTTCAATATCTGGACCCACGTGGTGGCAGCTTTTCTGTTCTGGCGTGGGTATAGGTGAGGTAGCTGAAAGCTACGGCAGTGGATTGATCTCTGCAGCACAGACAGGAGCGGTGTCCACCTTTACTGCTCAGGTGGCTTTGGATTAATTCTCTTTGAAGACAAGTATCTTCCAAACTCAGTAGGAGAAGAGAAGGGAGGAAGACAATACACCAGAATGTTGTAATAGCTTCTGTGCTTTGGTTATATGTAAATTGGAACATTTTTTCTGTAGAGGGGATTAAAACTCCCCCAGGCCTATAAGAGTTTGTGCCATGGTGAAGGCAAAATCACATATCACATTTGCTTTGAGGCAAAGGACTGAAGGGCATAAGGATTCTTTTAGGTCTTACGCTTCTTTTCTGTATGTTCTGTGTATTTTTTTCAATTTCTCTCTGTCTTTGGCCACCAATGAAATAAAAAATCCAAAGAGAAAGTTGTATATTGAATATAATTTTTGTATTGACCTATCTTTGTTTCCAAGTGGATAGTTTTATTATATAAGTATTTCTCATTACTGTGTTGATACTGTAACTGCTAGTTTTATCAATCTGATATTTTTGCCATTTTTCTTACAGCTCTTAATTCTATTGATGGCTTTAATGTAGCTTCTAGAACTGGCAAGTCAGCAAACGCTTTGCATTGTCTCCATTTAAGAAACTTTGTGGGCAAAGTTGCCTTTCAGATAATTTGTCAGGTAATAGCCATTCTTGCTGTTAATGTTAATCTTCCTCTTGCTCTAAGTATTGGGATTTTAACTTGGAGATTATAGACAAAAGGTAAGGCGGAGCCCGAATGTCTTCTTTCCTCCTTTCTTAATTATTGCATGTTTGTTTGTTTGTTTTTATTTTTCCCAAGATGAGCATAGAGTAGCAGTTACCTACCAATGCAAGCGGTAGTGTTTTTGCTTTGTAGTCTTCTATTGTTCTATACCCATGATGTGCCCATCACACTGCCTTCTTGGTTCCCTGTCCTGCTGGGACGTGCCTGTAGTTGCTTCTTATTCCCTAGTTTTTGCCTCAAGGGTGTAGTTAATTGGATTACAGTTCATGTTCGCCGCTTGATTCCCAAGAGCCAGAAAGCAGGGAAGTCCTAGTCACCGTCTGCTTTTCCCCTGTCCTGTGGATTTCTTTCATCTCTAATGAACTCGGACCAAAACACAGACTGCTGTGCTCATGAGCCATCACAATACTTCAAAGGCCTTTTTGAGCTAGCTGGGAAAGAATTCTGGGGCATGCAGATAGACGTTGGACAGATCAAGCAATGAGCTAAGGATTTACAGAATCTGACAACTGGTTTATTAATGACAGTATTGTAAACATGAAAAGAAAAACAACCTTCTGAATGTACTTTTTTCACTGTAAACAGTGCAAAACACCATTCTTGCCATTCTCATTTTAATTTGAGAAGATGCTGAGAGAACCTTGTCTGCAGGGTCAGCAGAGGCTGTTAGGTCACTGGGGATACCGTTACTTGACAAAGTCATGGCATGGGTGGAGATGGTCATAATCAGCTCAGTAGACCCAGATGGAACTTCTGCCCACCTTCCACTTCCCTCTTAAATGAACAAATGTTAGTGATTTTTTTTAATTATTAGTACATTAGAATAATTTTTTATTATTATTAAACTTCAGAGAGGGGAAGATAATCCTTGAATCACTACAAATGTTTATTCGCTAGTTACTGCAAGAAAAGACAATAGCTGCAACACTAGAAGCGAGTCTTGCACATCATACCATGTGGCCACCCCTCAATTCACCAGGAAGCTCTGACAGCAATTTAGATGCCAGTGAAACTGAAAAAAGTTTTGAATTCCATTTGAGAGAAACCCTGTGTATGCTTTTTTTTCCTCTATGATGTAAAGAAATAGGTACCAAACTTTGGCAGTTCTCCCAAACATACCTTCTTGGCTTTTAACTGAAAAAAAAAAAAAAAAAAAAAACAAACCAAAAAACCCAGAAACAACATGGCATTTGTAAAACCCTGAATACAGATCTACATTGTTTAGAGAAGTATTCTACACCCTGGCTTGCTCAGAGTGCTTCTCCAATGGACAGAATTTAATTTCAACTATTTCTCACAGGACTGTGTTAAACGGTTTAGAAATTGGTGTCCTTCCCCTGGCTCTACATCAGAAGAGGTTTTAGCGAAAACAGAGTTGCTACAATAGTTTAGATAAAGAAACGTGTGGCTTGAAAAATTTGAACCCCTCTTCTCATATATTTATGTTCCCGTAGACCCTAAGATCAAGCATTGAAACATTAGCAGAGTCTAAGTAGAAGCTGCAAGGGGAAATGATTGACCTGGCAGACAGGCGAGTTGTGCGCTGCGTATCGCATAGTGACAGCGAGGGAGTCCCAGTATGAAATGTACACAAGCCTCTATAAGATTGATTACAGCAGGTAAGTAATGTATGTTGTGATGAGATTTATAATTTCCGTTCTGTCTTCCACAGGCCGATGCAATCGGTGGCAATGCCAGAACTGGGTAAGAGGTTTTGGAAAAGAATTGCCCAGAAGAAGCTGCAGGAGCTCAAAAGGACACCACTGAATTAGCAAGCAGCTTTGCTAAGAAGTAATCCAGTACAAAACATGTGATAAATGCTTCAAAAAAAGCTTGGGCTTCTTTCCTTCAGGAAAATGTGAAATGCTTGGTAAATATACTTGTTTCAATAATTTTATTATATGCTATGCTGTGAAATCTGGCGGAAAAAACATTGAACTTGCCACAGTAAGGAGAACCAGCCACCACAGGTATGTGTTAATGACTTTATAGGAAACAAGTATACAACTGGTATACAAAATCTTCTCACAAAAATTATTCCAGGTGACACCTGTGCATTCAACTTGATGTATGAAATCTCCCCTAACATCTGGTGGTATAATGTTAGGTGACTTTTGCAGTGTCTCTGTAGATTGATAGTGCTGGGAGCTATAGTGATTGCTGCTAATTTATAATAGTGTAAGACACTGTTGGGAACGTTTCGTGCAGGAAGCAGTGTAGGAAGGTGTATGGCAACGTGCTACTTGTGTGGGTTGTATAAGACATTATCGTTGTCTTCGCAAATGATGAAAATGATAGCAATGTTTTATCCTGTAGTGATCCTTATCACAGTATTTCTGACATGCTGTGGTCTCTTTATAGCTTAATAGCCTCTGTGTCTCTCACAAGTGGAAAATACAGGCTTTAGAGTATATAAAAAAATTTACATTAAAAATATTATCGGAGTACAGCATTTTAATTTTTTTGGAACAGTCACTTTAATACTTATAACATAGTACAAAGTATTGCCAGCAGGTCAAGAGAGGTGATTGTTTCTCTCTGCTTAGCACTGGTGAGGCCGCACCTGGAGCACTGTGTCCAGTTCTGGGCTGCCCAGTACAAGAGAGACTGGACACAGTCCAGCGAAGAGCCCCAAAGATGACTAAGGGCCTGGAGCATCTCTCCTATGAGGAAAGGCTGAGAGAGCTGGGACTGCTCAGCCTGGAGAAGAGATAGCTCAGGGGCATCTCACGAATAAATACCTGAAGAGAGGGTACAAAGACAACAGAGCCAGGCTGTCATTTGTGGTGCCCAGTGACAGGACCTGAGGCAACAGGCACAAACAGAAACAGAGGAGGTTGCCTCCGAAAATCAGGATTTTTTTTTTTTTTTTTTTTTTTACTGTGAGGGTGACCAATGTTACCCAGAGAAGTTGTGGAATCTCTCTCCATAGAGATATTCATAAGTCATCTGGACGTGGGCCTTGGCATCTGGTTCTAGGTGGCCCTGCTTGGGCAGGAAGGGGTTGGACCTCCAGAGGTCCCTTCCAATCTCAGCCATTCTGTCAGTCTGTGATAGTTGGTGGAAAAAAATAAACACATCTTCAAAATTGTGTTTGTTGTTCCAGCTCATGGTGTTTTGGGGTTTGTGGAGTTTTTTTTTGTTTGTTTTGGTTTTAGTGTTTGGGTTCTTTTTGTTTTGTTTTTCCCCAATAACACTCAGGTGTGGATGGAGAGGAGGGGTGGACTCAAATCTACCTGGCCTAATTACAGGTACTTGGGTTTCCTATTGACTGCCTCTGTGCCTTCAGCTCGAATAACAAATTTTAACAATGCATGTGTGCTTTGAAATTCAGTGTGCATTTCATCTCTCCCAATACAATAACACAGTCAGTGACTGCGACTTGGATGTTTAGGAAAACAGCATAGAGAAAATGGAGGAGGGAGCAACATGTAAACACACTTTCTCAAATATGTAAAGAAATTAAACAATTAATTTGTTTTACATTAATGCTTTTGACATTAATTAGACTAATTTTTTAGCTTTAACATTTGCTCAAAGTTTAAAATCTCTCTCTGCTCCTTCAAATATGTGATCGGGGAGGGGGGGAGAGGAAGAAAAAAAATCTTGACCTTTTTATTATTCACCAGAAGAAATAAAAAGATAAATCCATGTGTTCTTTGCAGGCACTTTTTATTTTTTGATCAAGAAAAGTCTGTTTGATTGCAGTTTCAGGGTCAGAAATCATGTATTTCCATGTTTTTATGCTTTGTGTGTGTTAAGGGAGAATCAAATTATGAATTCCCAGTGGGCAGCCAGCAGTTCAGCTAAAAAACATGCACCTGCTTAATCCAAGATGATACACAAGCACAGAGAGGTGGAAATTAAATGCATCACTCCAGCAATAGTCTCCTACAATGTGATGCTTCTGAGGATGAAGGAAAACAAGGACACAACCTTGTAATTTGAAGGAGGATTCATGATTTGCCCTAATGAAGATGACTTGCTATGTCCTTTTTCTAGTCAGTAATCGATTGTTGGGTTGGGTTGGGTTTGATGGTGTTTCTTTTTCTTTGTAGAGAAAAAATAACTGTGTTGCGGTCTTATTTTCCCAACAAAGTTGTAACACTCATCAGAGTGTTAATTTTTGAGCATTCTGTTTTCTCTTAAAAATAAAAATTTCTAAGAGCTGGCATAACTAGCTATGTGTTTAAAAGAACACAATTAAATAGAGTCTTTTTTTTTTTTTAATTTTGGAAAGTACCTCATGGAGTATAGCTCCAACTGACACCTGAGCTTGTTTAATACTAGGGCACAGCATGAAAGACCAGGAAGATATCCTATACACTACAACAGAATTCCAGTCTTTGTTTATGGAGGCACGTGAACACCAACACCAGTTTTACTTTGGTGGCAGCTGGGCTTCAGATTTTACTGGTGTAGTTTGTGACAGCTTTCGCTCAGCTTTAACGTGGCTGTTCTTAAGTGGTGGGAAAGGGATGCAGCCCCATTTTAGCCTCTCTGGTAACTCCACTGTTGGTTGCCAGCAGTCTCTTAATTCACTATCATCTGATTCATCAGTCTGAATCTGACTGTTTTCAACACTTTGACATGCTTTACAAATATTTAGCAGCACAATTTTTGCTATGGAATGCAACTAAAGAGATTATAGCATCACAATTGGAGATCAGTGGCATTAATCACTTTGTCTTACTCGGATTTTTTTAGTGCAAAAGATATTGAAATTCAAGTTGCAGAAATAGGGAAGGGAAAAAGCATCTGAAAAGAAAAAGAGAAAAATAGCTAAGTCGCAGAAAAATGAACTCGGTTCTTCTTAAGCTGAGTTCTGTAGTTTTCCTGAAACTTGATGGAGCTACAGTTGTGCTAAAACCAATGTGCTTGTTCCTCCTGCACTGTGCAAAGAGGCATATCTTTACATATTCCTTTTTTTTTTTTCTTGCACATACATTTGCCACAAAAAATTATTAACGTGTTTTCCAGGACCTGATGATTGCCCCCAGTTAGTGTTGGTACAAGATATGTAAAATCTGTAAGACACCCCCCCCTTTTTTTTTCCTTTTCAACTCTAACTTTTTGCAAAAGGGGTAATGACTGCTCAGTGGCATTATGAGTCCAGTAAAGTTCTGATTTTTGTTCTGTTTCATTTAGTAAGCGTTGCAATGCTGTCCATTATTCATGAAAAATAGATTAGCAATGTCACTTTACATAATGCTGTATTGTTATAGGCCACTGCAGCTCCAGTGATAAAACTACTTTCTTTTAGTGAATTTTACCAGATAGCAAGTGGTACCCAGTACGACTTCTTAATACAGTTATATAATTCTTAAAATGTTAAATCTTAGATCAGTTGGGTTGTGGGGTTTTTTTTTTTGCTGTCTTTGTTCAATTGAGAATATATTTGTGCCCAATGGCTAAGCCCTTAATACTGTGAATCTTTTTGCAGAGGCATTTTACCTGTACCTATTTCCTGTTACTGTATATATTCAACTATGGATTTCTACTGCTTGTGCCCATTCCTCCCTTCTTTCTCCCTCCATTCACTTAGTCTTCTGATCTTTCTTCCTCACTTAAAGCCTAGTTTGGGAGGTTTGTGTGCTTCCCTGACCTTCTCACCTCATCAGATCACTTGTGCGGCTTCGTGATGTCACTTTGGGTTCCCCAAACCAGCAGGAACTGCAGGTGCACATCTGGGTAGGAGTTGGAATTGTTCAGCCTGGAGAAGAGAAAGCTCCGGGAAGACCTTATAGCGGTCTTCCAGTACCTAAAGGGGGCCTACAGAAGAGCTGGGGAAGGACTTTTTACAAGGGCATGTAGTGATAGGACAAGGGTGAATGGCTTCAAACTGGAAGAGGGGAGATTTAATTAGATATTAGAAAAAAAAATTTCACTGTGAGGGTGTAAGGCACTGGAACAGGTTGCCCAAGGAAGCTGTGGAAGCTCCACCCCTGAAGGTGTTTAAGGCCAGGTTGGATGGGGCTTTGAGTAACCTGGTCTAGTGGGAGGTGTCCTTGCCTACAGCAGGGGGGTTGGAACTATTGGTTGGTTGATCTTTTAGAAGGTCCTTTCCAACCTAAACCATTCTGTGATTCCTCTGCTGGGACTTAACATGCCTCACCGTATGGATAAGCTCCATGTCCAGTCTTGTTATTAATAGCTCAGAATAGTCAACCAAGCGTTATAGCTTAGAACAACATAAAAGTATATGCCTAATTCTTTTGCTGTACCTTCCTGCTGTACTTTTAAATGTTTCATAAGGTTTTGAAGCTGCAGTGTATCGTATCTCATTGAACAAAGAGTTTGACTTATTTATGTAAGTGTAACATTTGGTTTGGCATCTTTCACCTGAATGCCCAAAAGAGGCACTGCTGTAAAATATCATCAGTCAAAACAGAAAAAATGGGGGAGACTGACCATAAATTTAGGAAAAAAAAAAATCTACTCATTGCAAACTTAATGTAGAGGTGTGGTTTCTGAGGGTATTAAATAGCCAGTCGCGATTTGACTTGATAGTTTTCATCACTAAATAAATTAACATTTGCAACTGTATGCCCATTACTTAATATTTTTAATCATATCTTCTATTACTGCATTTCCAACTAGCTCATTCTCACTTTTTTTTTGGGGGTGTTGAAATCTTCTATTATCTTCTTTTTTACTGCTCTTATCTACCGTATCTCCTTTTTTTCATCATCTTTTCCTGAAGAGCTAGTGTTCTTTGTTACTATTTAACACGTTTCATGGTAAGCTTTTCATTTTTCCTGTTGAAATTAACTATTTTAACTAATGAGATTAAATCTTCACACATATTTCTTCCCTTCATGTTGCAGTTACATGCTTAAGTGAATTCTGTAGTGCTGCCAAGTCTCTGTCATTTAAGAAAAGCTTAAGGCAAATATTACAAGTTTCTCATTCCAGCTGATTTGTTGGTTGTATTTAATTGATGGTGTATCAATCGGAGAGAAAATAAAACTTTTGTAAAAAGGATCACTGACAGATTAAAAGCCTCGAAGCATATTAGATGGATTTTACAGGGTTGTAGGAAACTAAAACCAAAGTGTTGGATTTAAAACTGAGGTAAGATCTGAGGACTTCATAAAGGTCTGTCTTTGGAAGAGTTAAGGCCTGCTCTCTGGAGAAGAATTTTGAAGGGTGGGTTGTTGCTTTGTGTTTTAAGTACCCTATTTGAAACTCCGGAGAAAGCTTAGTACATCAGAGACCAATTCAATGTGCACAGTATAAGTCTGAGCTGTTGGAAAGGGGTTATGCAGACCAAACTATGGGCAGTATATAACCTAACAGCTCCTGGGAAGGAAATCTGAACTGCTGTTTACAGTAATGCTTTCCTATGCCTGGAAGGTAAAGAAGATACTTCTACATGAATATCAGATGAGTCTGTTCCTGAGTTATTTGAAGTAGTAAAGCAGGTCAATTCTCCAAGGCTGGAAATTCATGGAATGAACAGCCAGATATATCTTCAGCTGACTTTGAAAAGCAGTTACGATATTTATCAGTATGTCCTGGACAAGGTCTTGGGGAAAAAAGGGTGTAGAAAAGAATGATGACTTAATTCAAAGTTTTTCAATGCATGGGTTTTTTTGGTGGTTGTAGTTGCCAAAGAAAAGAATGATTAAAAATCCCAAAACTTCAGGTAGTGACAAAAATAACTTTCTTTACATGTACTGTAATCTGCCCAGTTATGAAAATAGCTTTAAAATTCCAGATTCTTTGTTCCTTGTTATTCTGACAGACTTTTTGCATTTCTTTTACTCTGGGTAATGAAGACTGCATACTGGTAATATTCAATCTTCTATTACAACACATTTTTTCCAGTGTGGAAAAAAAGGACCCTTCCTTTTCTTTCCTGTGCAGTTTCATAGAATGATGGGTGCATCTGCTTTGTTTGGAAAGGACACTTATGGCACTTTAACGTAGTCTGTATTTTATTTATTTTTTTTTTTAACACATGCATAATTCTCAATCTTCTGGGCTTTTTTCAGTGTTTTTTTTTTCTCTTTATTATCATGGTGCCATACCTTTTCTGGTGGTCTTTCATATTGCTTCCTTTGCTCCTTTTGCAGGCTCCGTATGTGTTTCTTTCATTATCCTGTATTTTCTGCTTCCTTTCTTCACGCTCTGCTGTGCCTCGCAGCTTTACTGCCTACACTTCTGTCTTCTTCAGCTGTTTCTTTTTGCCTCTTCCAGATACTCTTTCACTCCTGAGCGTTTGCATGGGAGTCTCAGAGATTCTTCAGAAGCTGAATGGCCCCATAAAGAGAAAAACTTGTTCTTAAGTAATAAGCCAACTCTGTTCTTCCCGAAGCCTAAGAACAGTGGACAGTGTGCCTTCCCTTGCATCCTCCTCCTTCTGCCATCCCTCACTGTTGGTCTTTGCTGGAACTGAAGTTTCCCTCTCTCCTGGTCTCTGTGCATCCCTCGGCATGTGGGAGGTAACTCGCTGTGCCCTGGCTGTTGCTCTGTGTGTGTAACACAGAGTAAGAAGTGATGTAAATTGCTCAGACTTGGCAGAGCTCTAAGTGGTAGTCTGCTTCCCTCCTGTGTTCTCCCATCGCCTCATTTTCCACCATCTTCCTTGCCTGCTCTCCTACGTGAAGACTGTAACCATTGCTGCTGCTGCCTCTTTGGGATTTTGGACTGTTTGTTCTGGAACAGCGGGCACGCTGAGAGCTGAGGCAAGGCAAGAGCTGCAGTGATAAGGGAAAGGGGATGCCGCATGAGAGAGCAAATGCTGTGTTCGGATCCTAAATAGGGGTGTTTTTCTGTGTTCTTGAATATAGGCTTCTGTGGCACTGTGTTTCTTACTTGGTATGTTGCAAATGCAGGAGCGACAGCTGCACTTTCTGCAATCCGTTAAAGCCATAGGTGTAGTAACAGTGAAAGCATGGGAGAATGAACTTGACATGCACATAAAATATTAAGGCACTTACCAGCTAGTTCATGCAACTTCATAGAATCATAGTATCATAGAATCGCTGAGGTTGGAAGGGACCTTTAAGATCAAGTCCAACCATTAACCTACTCTGACAAAACTACTTTTAAACCATGTCCCCAAGTACCACATCTCCCCTTTTTTTAAACCCCTCCAGGGATGGCGAATCTACCACCTCCCTGGGCAGCCTATTCCAATGTTTAATAACCCTTTCAGTGAAAAACTTTTTCCTAATATCCAATCTAAACCTTGTCTGACATAACGTGAACCCATTTCCTCTCATCCTGTCACTTGTCACCAAGGAGAAGAGGTCAGCCCCCCCCTCTCTACAACCTCCTTTCAGGTAGTTGTAGAGGGTGATAAGGTCTCCCCTCAGCCTCCTCTTCTCCAGGCTAAACAACCCCAGTTCCCTCAGTTGTTCCTCATAAGACTTGTTCTCCAGACCCCTCACCAGCTTTGTAGCCCTTCTCTTGACACGTTCCAACACCTCAATGTCCTTCTTGTAGTGAGGAACCCAAAACTGAACACAGTACTCAACATGGGGTCTCACCAGTGCTGAGTACAGGGGGACAACATGCCTGTTGTTACCTGTCCTAGTGGAGTTTGGGAGGGTACAGTTACCTGCACTGTGACCATGCTGGAAATTAAGCTGTGGCCATACGCTTTCAGTTCTCACCTCAAGCAATTTCTGTTCTAGAGCTGTTCCAGATGCTGCTGACAGCATTTTAAAGCAGCAATACTGTGAAATTGAGCAAGGTTGTGAATGGAACTGGTCAAAAAGAGGAGCATTTCCTTTGCTCACGCAGTCTGACAAACTTGTAAGCAGCAGTGCATGAAACTATCTATCAGGATGTGGAAGAGTTGTATAATTTTTTGCATTCTGTTCGTCTTACACAATTTTTCAGTGTTATCTTTGAGTATTAGAATTTCTCGTGTAGATTTCTACCTAAAGAGCCAAGGATGCTTAATACGAGAGTAATTAAAATGAAAATTATTTTTTTCTCTCCTGACATTTTGATGGATTTTTTGCTTTTCATGCCACTATAATGAACTGTTCACCAGCCCTTGGGTTTTGTAATCACACCGCGCTCAACTTGGGCAGATGAGCAACGCCCCTGGAGTTCTATGGGTAAAGAGCAGCATGTGCAGAAACGTGCTTCAAAAACCTCTTGAAACTTAACCCAAACTCAGCTATGATAAGTAAAAACCTCAAAACAGAATTACGGAAGGTCATGGCGATACCTTTATCAAACCGGCAAAAGCTTTTCAGTTATACTGTGAAAATTTGTCTTTTTAAAAAGCTGCGTTGCAAGTCTCCTGCAACGACTACGCTTGCTTTGTGAGGGCAGTGAGCTGCACCTCGTCCCTCCTCAGCCTTTCTTCAGATCCAGCCCTGGGAGCCAAGGTCAAACGAGACAACTTCGTCCCCTTCGTCCTTACAGGTAGGCGGCTGCTCTCTCGCCTTTTTGGCCTGCCCGCAAGTTCAGCTCCGGTATGGAGACGTGGGGGAACTTCTTGCACTTGCTGGAGCTCCGTTGTTTTTTTAACGGGAGCCCCGAGGACACCTGCAGCCCTCCAGGTACCGTTAGGGGCTTCCAGCCCGGCAGCGATTACCCGCGCTTCACCTCCTCGGCTGACTGAAACCGGGGCTCTGACAGCGGCCGGTGCTGCCCGGCGGGGACTGGAGCCGGGTCCATCAGCGAGGCGACTGCGGTGTCGCCTCCCCAGTGGGTCCCCTCAGACTCTCCCCGAGGCGAGACCCCCTCTAACGGGGCAGCGTACCCGCCTTCGCCTTCTGCCGGAGCGGGGACACCCTGAGGCTGCCGCCCAACTTCTCCTCAGAG